CTCCCCCCGCCGCCGCCGGGCCGCTGAGCTGCGGCGGGAGCGGCGCCTTTTGTCCCTGCCAGCGAAAGGGGCCGGACGGGCACGGACCGGGACATCTGCGGCACGGACGTCCCCTTCCAGCATGAAAACCTCTCGCCCATGGTGTTAGCTCAGCCCGAAGCTGGGGGTACTGAGGAATCAGCGTTACCCTCGGCGCGTTCCTCAGTGCCCATCGCCGGCACACGTCGCACTGGCAAAGCCTGGCCGGGAAAGGAATACAGGGGACAGACAGAGGGCTGCTATGAATCAGCAGCTAGGGGCTCAATACGAGGACCCTTTGGAGGGCAGGAAGGGGGATGTGGGTGTACCTAGGAGGCTCCAGCGCTGCTGCAGGTGTGTAGGCACAAAACTGCGCTACCAGGGAGTCACAGGGCCAAAGCTGGCACACAGAGAATGGCAGAGCAAAAACTGGGCCCTGCGAAAGTGATTCTGTCAATGGAGACCAAGACTGTGGTGGAAGAGGAGGAGAAAAGGTAGCTCAACAAACCCGATGTGCCCAGACTAGCTAAGAGCTGCAAGACCCTTACATCACACTGACTCCCCCCAGGAAGGTGCTAGGACAGTCTGTGGCATGGGATAGGAGAGATGTACTGGGATAGGACAATCTTACCTGCTCCTAGTAGGATAGACCATCCATCCAAGTGCAAATACATCCAGAGAGGAGGCAATACTAATTTTGTCCTTGGCCACTTCTCATCTTTGCTTCAGCTGCCCATTCATTAACTTGGAGGTAGAGAGAATAAGGCATGACAGTGCTGGAGCGCTTCAGTATCAGTGACAGCACTTTTCCCGGCATGGAGAAAGACAGAAGCACGGCAAGGGGGAGGGAGGTGGTGGGCATTGCCCTACAGCCACTGCTCACACCACTACCTGCTCCTCAGCTTCTCTGACGTTTTTCTAGGTGAGGAACAGAAACACAGCTGGAGGGGGCTGCGGAGGGGAGCAGACAGTGAGGCTGGCTCTCAGCCCCTAGGTGCTCTTCCCTCTTCTTCCTCCCACTCCTCCCACTTCCCTCCAGCTGCTGGTGCTGCTCTTTCCTCCCACACAGCAGCTCTAAGAGGCTGGAGGAGACAGTAGGAACAGGGGAAGCACTTACAAGCTGACAGATGCCATTGCCTGGTTTCTTTCCAGGGCCCCATCTTCCTTCGACCTTCACTGTCTCCTCCGCTTGCTCCAAGTTGGCAGCAGGACTCACAGAGGTGGCTGAGCTGCATGATGTGGGGCACAGAGAAATGTGGGTGCCTGGGAACTAAAGCTGGTTACTGAAGCCCTGGGAAGAAGTCACTTTGCTGCAAGTAAGGGAGGATTAATGTAAACAAAAAAAAGTAAAGATCATGGGTTCTCCCCCCCAGAAACCAAGCCATGCCATCCAGGATTCGTTTTGCTGGAGATCTCGTCAGTAGTGTGCAAGCAAGGCTCTGAGATGGTAATCAAGGGTTGCTGGTGACACTTTGAAGAGTCACAGGGATGAATTAATTTCCATTTTATCTGCTGTGACCTTGCTGCTCGTTCTAGTAATACCAACTTTTAAATGAATATTGTGAATTCATTCACACTTCGCATTCCCCTCTCAAACTTCCTAGAGTCATGCTGACAATATTAGAAAGTCTTGTTCTTCTTTTTCACCCACTTGAAAGGTTGAACAAAGAAATCACAGTA